CCCCGCCTAGCAAGTAACAACAGCAATAAGCAAATGTAGATTTCGACAAGCCTAACCAACCAATGAAAAATCAAAAGGAACGTATGCAACAGCCTTTAATGCAGGATAACATGAGGGACTATTGGCTGAGAGGTCAGTGCGAACTCCTCAGACCCAGACTTCTTACGAAACTCAGGATTTGCGGTATATTAGTCTTTAGTTACGCTAAAAAGAGACAATGCACTGTAGGTCTTCTCCATTATGACTTTGCTTCTTTCATTTTTTTCTTTTTATTTAACTTCCTTCGTTTCTCTCTCTTGGAGGCGCGGTGGCCCCATGGTTATTGCGTTCGACTCCGGATCGAGTGATCCGGGTTCAAGCCCTGGCCGGGGTCATTGTGTTGTGTTCTTAGGCAAGACACTTTACTCTCACAGTGCTTCTCTTCACCCAGGTGCTGGGGGTAACCCTGTGATGGACTAGCATCCCATCCAGGGGGGAGTAGCAATACTCCTAGCCGCTTCATGCTAATGAAACCGGCCGGTTAAGCGCCGGTCCCATGGGCCACTTGGGCCTGTATAAAGGCTTTGCTTACTTTATTTCTTTCTCTCCTGCAGGTTTGCCATCAAGGAAGGTTGCAGTGGTGGATATTTTATCAAAGTGTCGCTTCTTGACGATAAAAAGAGGGAACTTCCGGGAGAAACACCATTTTTAGCTCATAGGCAAGTTGCACTAAGTGATGGTACTTGGGAACGCTTGGGACACGTTTTTGATAATTATCCCTCTGGATTAAGGTTCATACGATTTGAGGATGTTCTTGATTGCCTGGGGAATCACGGCCAGGGTTATGCTCTGAAAGTTTATGGAGCCACCGTGAAGTTCTCTTCAGGGGAATGAAAACAGCGGTGACGCATTAGTTATAATATACGGTCTACAGTAGTTTTTTAGTAGTAAGCAGGCATTGAAACAAAAAAAAAAGGAACGGGTATAAATAATAAGATTTAATTTTAATAGCTGGTATAAGTGGTGTGAACAACTGGTATAAACTTAATTTTTGTTATTTTCACCAACTACTATGTAGATCTTGTACTTTTATTTGTATCATTATTTTTATTTTAATATATTAGATAAAGATTGAGGCTTGATTAAATGAGAAGATGAAACTATGGCTACATTTGCAATATAATTATCCCTAAGCTAAAAAGATAAAATGCTTCTTGTACTCGTTGAAGAACGTTAGTAGTACATGAAGTACAGAGGCAACTGGCGGTATTAATGTCAAATTTTGCAGTTAATTGTTATTATTAAATCAAATCTCTTGATGCCGCAATTCCGCGTTCAAATACGGGGGAATACTTGTCACCAATCTGACTCAGTCTATCTTTATAAATAAGATTGCAGAAAAACACCACTGTAGAAGTCAAGCAACAAATATGAAACGTCAAACAAGAGGGGAGAAAATCTCGCTTTCAAAAAATGTTTTGGTTTTATATGATGGGGCTCGGTAGATTAATTAGGTCAGTGACCAACAGCCGAAGAAAAAGGAATTACAAGAAATCAAAAGATTTGATAGAAAGAAAGACAAAACAGAAAAAAGATTAAAAAAAAAATTATTCCTCTTTATGTACTCCTTAGATTCAGTGGAGTCCAGTTGAATGGTCTCAAGCCCAGGAATTTTCAAACTACGTCGTTTAGTATCGAATCAAACGAAATGTACGATATCCAAAATGGAAGCACGTAGAAGTAGAACTATCGAAAACTGAGAAAATCATGACGGGTTTGGCGCCACACCGTGATTACCTTTTCTGCATTTCAATTGTCAGTAAAACCGCGGAATGGGTATACGGAGCCAGGTCACAAGTGTCCGCACCAATGATGGTAACTGTGAATGTTTCTTTTTAGAG